CACGCGCTGCTCCGGTAGATGGTACGTGGCACTGACGGTCCCTGAACGCCTCACGCGCTGCTCCGGCAGATGGCACGTGGTACCGATGGTCCCTGAACGCCTCACACGCTGCTCCGGTAGATGGTACGTGGCACTAACGGTCCCTGAACGCCTCACACGCTGCAACAGTAGATGGTACGTGGCACTGATGGTCCCTGAACGCCTCAGTAGATGGTACCAGGTGTTCAGCTCCTCTGACAGGTGAGCGACCAGACCTTAGATGAAAACAGTGGAAAGCGCGTTCTGCACTAATGTGGCCACGATGACAGGTTTTCTCTGAGCAGCGTTTCTATGCAGATACGTTTCTACGAGCTGAGCTCATGCTGAGCGTCCAGCCCACTGGTCCTCATGTCCACTGAGTCAGAACCGTGATGCTGTGAACATGTGGACCTTCAGGCTGAATGTGGGGCGACTGGTTGTTCCTGCCTGACTCAGTCCAGACCTGTGTGCCAGCACCTGAACACTTCTATCATCAGGTGTGACCTCTCCCACCTGGCTGTGTGTGTGTGTAACACCATCGGCTGTACATGGTTCTATCAGATTCTATCAGGTTCTATCAGGGGAACACGGTAACAGCCACACTGCCTGTTTTCCCGTCAGGCAGAGAGAGACCGAGTCACTATGTCCCCTAACCCTAACCCACCACAGCACCTGGAGCAGCAGCGACCTGAGTCCACGGGAGGAACCAGATCAGCCTGAAGATGCGACCACGTGACCCTTTTGCTCGCACACGCTCAGAAATGGTCACATGAGAGAACATGTTGGTCAAGTCTGGAGGCCTGTGTAGGATCACTGCTGTGTGAACATAAATTATAACATTACACTAGATTATATCCTATATATCCTATATATCCTATATATCCTATTATATCCTATATATCCTATTATATCCTATATATCCTATTATATTCTATTAATTTATCTGGTTAGGAAACACACATTTCTCACCAGCAACATAAAATGACATGGAGGGCCAAAACTGGCCCACCAACCAGAGTTTGATGCCTATGTTTTAGTGCATGATTAAATAAAAGTCGTAGAATAAAATGATTGTACTGAGTTACTCAGTAGATGTACTCTGTTACACCAGCTGGACACCGACTGCTTCACGTGGTGGCAAAGTGTCGTTCCTGCAGTGCTGTCCCACGGCCTGCTTCATTTAAACGTCAGCCCTCGTTAGACAAATTAAAAAATACATAGTAAATAATTAAACTTTAGTTTAACTGAGATCTGTCTCATCTGACACCAAAACCATCTGAAATGATTCGACTTCATTCATGTATTTGTTCAACATATATTTTTAAANCTGTTCCTGCTTCTCTCTGCTTCCTGCAGATCTTCTGTGTTTATTCCTACGGAGGAGTTGAGTATTTGAGTTTAGCCGTCATGTCCTACGACAGATATCTGGCCATCTGTTGTCCTTTGCAGTACAACGCCCAGATGAAGCCTGATAAAATGGCCACGCTGATCGTCCTGACCTGGTCTTATCCTTTCATATTAGTCACTGTCATGGTTTGTCTGAGTTCGTCTCTGCAGCTCTGTGGAAACGTCATCGACAAGGTGTACTGTGACAACTATGCTGTGGTGAAGCTGTCCTGCTCCGACGCCGCCGTCAACAACGTCTACGGACTCGTGTCCACGTTCTGCACCATCGTGCTCCCTTTCATTTTAATCCTGTTCACGTATGTGCAGATCTTCAGAGTGTGTTTATGTGGCAGCAAGCAGAGCAGGCAGAAGGCCGTCAGCACCTGCACACCTCACCTGGCCGTCCTCCTCAACTTCTCCTTCGGCGCGACCTTTGAGACGCTGCAGAGCAGATTCAACATGAGCCAAGTGCCCCGAGTGCTGCGCGTCTTCTTGTCGCTGTACTCCGTGGCCAGCCTGCCGCTCTTCAACCCTCTGATGTACGGACTCAACATGACCAAGATCCGCCACTCGTGTCTGAGCCTCGGGCCAAAGAGACACAGATCCACACAGAGCCAGGTGTGCTGAGGACACCAGCTGGTCGCAGAACCTCTGAAGAGCAGCAGACAGTTTGTTTCAGTGCAGGAGTCAAACTCATTTTCATCGTGGCCACATCATGTTTGGCCTCAACGGGCCGGTGGTGACTGTACAGAGCACATTGGTAAATAACTGCCTCTGCATCTGATTATTATTTATTGTGTGTACAAATACTGTGCATGCCTTCAGCTAACAGTAAAACACATGTAGCAGGGCTACCCCCATATGTTGTTAATGCACCGTGCAGCTGATGAACAGCTGTTTCTGTATAACTCAGTGATGATGTAATGATCTTCTGTGATACAAGACTAGACATCTGTAAAATGTTTTAACCTGAAAATATATTTATTTTGTCACCAGTCCTCTTCTGATGTCACTCATTAACTGGACACAGGCGAAACAGCTGCTGAACATGTGTATGAGTAGATAGTATATTTCACTGATGGTCCCTGAACGCCTCACATGCTGCTCCGGTAGATGGTCCGTGGTACTGA